GCCCGCGCGCCCGCAGCCGGGCCACCGAGCGATGCCCGCCGGGCGCCCGCGAAAGTTTGTCGGCTCCCGCTGAAGGACAGCGGCGCCCCCGCCTCCCGGCGCCCGGCTCCGGCCAGGTGAGTTTGCCCCGCGCTCCCCGCCGGCGCCGGAGCGGGACTGGGTGGCGGGCGGGGGCGCTCGTCGGAGGCGGACCTGGAGGCGCCCTCGCCGCGCTCCGCGGTCCGGGGACTCCGCAGCTCCAGGAGGAGGGCGCGGGGCGGGGGCCTGGCCGGGCGGGGAGACGGGCGGGAGCCCCCGAGCGGGGAAGTTGCCGGGTCCGAAGAGTTTCCTACCCCGACGTGCGGGCTCTTCCCGGTGCCTTGATTTCCAAAAAGACGCCCGACAGGAGCAGAGTTGGTTTTATCCACGGAGGACGGGATCCCCCGCCGTTCCGGGCCGGGGGTGGGGGTGCTGATCAAGAGGAGACCCCAAGATGGGAAACAGGCTCCTAACAAAGATACCCTCCCCCCACAAAACTGCAGGCTCTGCACCCGCAGCGAGCGTCTCCCGAGACCCCCGAGGCCCGACCCCTCCTCACCCCGGCCCTCTTTGAAACCTTCCTTGAGCCCTGGAGAAGTTGGGGGACGGCGGGCTTTTATTGATGTGTTTTTAAGGCTTGCCGCGGTGCGGCCAATAAAAGGTTTATGACATCTGACCGGCAGTGAAGGTATGCGAGCTCCCAATTACCCTGTATACGAAGAGAAGAGCAGTTTTCCCGTTGCCTGGCAACGCCGCTGATTGACGCTGGACGCAGCCAATCGCCGCTCCCGCAGGTCCCCTTGAAATGTTTTTGACAAGTACTGTACCAGGGAGTGGAGCGCGTGCGTGTGTGCGCGCTCGCGCGCGCGCGCTCGCGCGCGCGCGCTCGCGCGCGCGCGCTCGAGGAGAAGAGGGGCGGGGGTTACCCGGCCCCCCCCAAAACTCGCGACTGCCCTGCTCCGCTTGGGGAGGATTTCTCAACTTTTTAAAGTTCACATCGAACATCTGTTCAGAGCTGGGCCAGTAATGTCTTTGTCAGTTATTTGGAGACATTCTGATAGCCGGCAAGAAACTAGCTTTCCTGCTGCCTTTAGTCCGTTAAAAAGCAAAAAAGATAACAAAACACAGCAAGTCATAAAAAAACAAAAAGAGGGTGTGTATGGGGGGCGGGGACGTAACCAATAGCAAACTGAAAAGTTGTAAGGAGGTCACTAGCGAATAACTTTGCGTGTCTGGTGGAGCAACCTTTTTGGCTGCAGATTAAAAATGTTTGCTTAACTGCAGACTCACATGATCTGGACCCCCCCCCCTCTGAAATACGAGGAAAAAAAAGATTTGCCGAATTATGTAGTTTGAGTATAATAATGGAAAACTCCTCAGCTGTGGTTTCTGGGAACTGATTTTTAAAATGGAGCTGTAGTGATCAGCAGCTCTTGATACTATTGCTATAAAATGTGGATTTATAGGGATGCAGTTAGTTGGAGGGTATGGGTGAGGGACAGAGACACAAAGCACGCAAATGACCCAAGGGGACTGAACCCTGTAACACTGTTCTTGACAGTGTCTTTTTTTCTAATAAAACCATATTGCTGGCGATGTTTGTTTAAAACAAAAGAAAACATGGAGAATAGTGTGTTGGTTCCTTTGGGAAGCTGCTGACAAATAAGCAAATTAAAAAGAAAGAGCAGCATGTTGTCATAGCAACAGTGCAATTAAATTACTTTACTGTCAGCCATGATATAATTTTCCTGTTTGGAAGCTCAGGAGACATAAAACTTTCATTTGGAGCTAAAGTTGACTTTAGTGGCTGGGTAGTACTCTTTTGTATTCTACTGTGTGGATATTCCTGGTTATCAGAAAATTCAGTTTTTTATTGGGATCTGAGGAAACTTTGAAAGAGACAAACCTAGCTTTGATTTGTTCATAAAGAAGGTAGAAGCATTATCAGGCTGGTCTCTATCAAATTCCCAACCCTAAAGATGCTAGCTTATTTTTTTAAAAATGTGTCATGCACTATTCAGGTTAGTACATGACAGAAAGAAGTATTCTCTGTGGATGAACATAAAGTGTCCAGACTGCCCTGCTCTGGGGCTTGGATGGCCGTCGCAGTTTTCTTTCCTTAGACTTGGGCATCTCACAGCAGCTCCAGAGGTCCTGTCTGGCCTTCTGTCAGCAGGTTCTGTTTGTTTGTCCACCTTTGGGGGGAGGGGGAGGAGTGCTACAGTTCTGGGGTGCCCTTGGTCGGCTGTGTAGTGCCCCACGTTATGCTTTCTAGAATCCCATTCTAGAGTTTCCCCAGCTGAAGTGGCAGTTACTTTAGGCATAGTGTCAATGGACGTTTCAAGCCCTAGATGACCATGCCTTTGCTTTGATGTGTTCATTCTTTTTTTCTAGATAGATTGCTTGATCTCCTTACTTGCGGGGGAAACTATAAAAGACACGCTTCTTAAACCAAGTGCATTGTTTGAGCGCAACAAACGGCGAGTGGGAGACCTCTCTCATTATCTGTACCGTTCTTTCTGTCTTACATTGAATATCGGGTTGAACAGCTTTGTATCTGCCGGGTCATTCTTGCCACATCCTCATTTTCTTTTCTTATCAGATATTTTACTCCCTGTTCTAGGTCATTGATACAAATGGGGATGGCAGTGGAGGGGAGCGAAGGGGTGGGGGAAAGCAGAAGAGAATTCTATAACAATTTTTGTTGAATTTGCCTTCCTGTCTTGAAGCTGCCCCTTGCGTTCCTGACTTTTTTCAGCAATTCTGATTTCAGTTACTGGCTTGTCTCACATATTCCCATTTTTATTTGTGTTGTTGCCTGAAATTACTTTTTTGTTCAGAATGTAGTGTCCCAATCAAATTAAATGCACTTCTTCCTCCAGTTCGAATCCAGAGAATTCAAATGTAATTAAAGTTGCAGAGTTTTTGGTCATGACTTACAGAGGGAAAAAAAGCAATCAAACAAAACACTACCAAATTGATGCTCACTGTGGCCACAGGTTTTATTCTGAGGCAGTTGTGATGGCCTTTGTGTGGAAACAGCTGAACTTATCTGAAACAACTGGCCTGATACGTACAGGTATTTTCTTTTTTTTGAGAACGATAGACAATGAGACTTGTCACCCCAAGTGATAGGGGTTATGCATTGAGCTTATTATGTAGTGTTTATTACAAGGCTCGAAAGGTTTTTTTACCTTTGTACATTGTTCACATATTATAGATAAACTGAGGCAGCAAGAAAAGGCTGATTTTCCCAGGGTCACAGTGAGAGTCTTCATAGGTCCAGGAAGAAGGCATTGTGAAATTTCCTTTTGTTTTTATGTGCATTTGCACATTAAAGGTGCTCTAAATATTTCCAGTCTTACTGTATTGAGGGGGTGACAGGGCACTGTGCTGTAGGCATGGTGAATCGATTTTACTTACTGTGCATCTCTGTGTGGTGGAATTATGGGTTTGTGTTACTCAGCGTGGGAGCCATGAGCTGGTAAGGGGTCCATCAAGGTGGCAGGAGTGTGGGGGCAAAAGAATTAAGAGGGCACAGCTGCCTTTCCAGTGTGGGTTTCACTAACTCATCTTTTCTCTATAATGTGTTTACCAGGAGCCTTCACGTAAATGGGTCCAGTCATGCCTCCCAGTAAGAAGCCAGAAAGCTCAGGAATTAGTGTCTCCAGCGGGCTGAGTCAGTGTTACCGGGGCAGCGGTTTCTCCAAGGCCCTTCAGGAAGACGATGACCTCGATTTTTCTCTGCCTGACATCCGATTAGAAGAGGGGGCCATGGAAGATGAAGAGCTGACCAACCTGAACTGGCTGCATGAGAGCAAGAACTTGCTGAAGAGCTTTGGGGAGTCGGTCCTCAGGAGCGTCAGCCCCGTCCAGGACCTGGACGATGACACGCCCCCGTCCCCCGCCCACTCGGACATGCCCTACGATGCCAGGCAGAACCCTAACTGCAAACCCCCTTATTCGTTTAGCTGCCTCATATTTATGGCCATCGAGGATTCTCCAACCAAGCGTCTGCCGGTAAAGGATATCTACAACTGGATCTTGGAACATTTTCCGTATTTTGCAAATGCACCTACTGGGTGGAAAAATTCAGTGAGACATAACTTGTCATTGAATAAGTGTTTCAAGAAAGTGGACAAGGAGAGGAGTCAGGTAAGCCTCTGTGTATAGAACTCCAGTTTTTCTTTTTTAAATTAAAATTTTTTCTCCATTCAAAAATTGTTAAGGAATGCGAACTCCCCACCCTGAAGCAACAGTTATAAATGGATGATTTAATTCTCTTTCATTTATGTAGATAGTGGTAAAGAACTTCCTGTTTCTTAAGCATATTCATTAAATATGATTTTTTGGCATTTGTGCTGGATGGTTCCTGTTTCTTAAGCATATTCATTAAATATGATTTTTTGGCATTTGTGCTGGATGGAGGATTTCCCGCTGTGATATCCGACCATTATCACAGAACAGTGGTTTTGCACCCTTGATGGGTTCTTCCCTCACTGTGGTTGGGTCAGTTTGGGTTTAGAGTACAAGGGGCAGCCCTTAACCATGAGGGGTGTGTCTGTGTGTATTTGAGAAAAATTGCCATAAAGGACTAGAGGAAAATGGCAATTCTTTTTGCAAGTTAACTTGGGGAAAGGCACCACCTCTGGGATTCTGGAATAAATGGACAGGAGTGGACGTTGGGAGACAACTGGAGCATACTTATTTACTCCTAAGACTGAACAAAGACAGACAGGAATTGCCCAGGTGACTCAAAATCAGGTATCTACCTAAGTGTTTGGCAACTTTGGAACTCCCTGACTTTGAAAAATTGGCTCACGGTAAAGTTTCCACCAGAGACTGACTTAAAAAACATTGACTTGTGACTTTAAAGCCTTAGCTCGAGCTTCATGGTCCTCTAAAGGGAGATGGTTTTAATAATTTGCCTTACCTTTCTTGTAAGGAATATAATAGGTACAATAGAAATTGGGTCGACCGTTAGAGCTGGAAAACAAAATTGGGATCTGACTTGGAGTTCTGAAAGGTAATGTAGCCACAGTTAAAATAAATTGCTGGAAAATGTTTTCTCCACCGAGTTTTCGTGTGACTGTTTTCCAGCTTGGTTTTCTGTGTTAATCATGTTGCAGTGTGCAGCTGATGGTCTGCTTTCACCCTTTTTGAAGTTCAGGTTCGGGTTCAGGATCACTATTGGGTGGGGTCAGCAGCTCTGCAGGGTTGGGGCCTTTAATTTCTTCTCTCCAGAAGCCTGTTTCTATTTGCAGTAGAATCTTGAGACTGAGAAAGTTCTTGTCGTGGGCATGGAAGAATACGAATAAGAAAGTGGTGAAGTCATATTTCTCCTTCCTGTAACTGGGCGTGCTTGACTGCAAATGTTGTGTACCCAGAGTTCATGTTCAAGATGGGGAGTGGGCATCATGCAGGGTTTGAGGAGGGCTATTGCCTGGGAAGTAGACAGATAGGACACTTAGGACCTTTGCCTTCGATCGCTGGTGATGCCTGGATCCAGGGGCCACGTGTGAATATTCACCTGTTCTGGGCCCTTCTTCCCCAGGTTCTGTTTTTATATAACTGTGACAATTGTAAGGTGCTGCCGCTGTCCCCACGTGTCCATGTCTTTCCCTCCTTCCCTCCACATCTCAGAATGGACAAATGGGCTTGGCTCTGTTGAGTGGTTTAAGCTCATTCTTTGAAGTTGAGAGAAAAATTCTCTTCTCCCCTGTAAAGAGCCACATCTGTGGCGTTAAAAGCTCCTGTACAGGTGGACCCTCGAGGCAAGAAAGGGAACATTGTAGGAGGCGATTCCGGGGTTAGAATGTGGAGAAGAAAGTGCTGTTCGGGTCCCCCAAAGCTGCATGTCACTGATAAAGCAAGGAGCAGGACTCTCAGACGGTGCACGTCGCCGCGTGCCTGCATCTCCGTGTGTGCCGTCATGCTGGTGCCCATCAAAGTGGTTGAGCAAATGCACACTCTGAAAGGTTAAATGAGCAACTCCAAAACAGTGCACAGCGACGGACGGAGAGGGATGTTTACCAGCCCTGGGAATGGCAAGTGGGTGTTGGGTGGCGTGTCAGGGAGAACTGTCTCTCGCCCATGCACCCCCTGCCCCCCAGTCATATTTTCTAGGGATGACAGTTGTCATTTGGAATAGATGCAGATATTGCCGGTTGAAAGGGAATGGTTTTAAGGATTTAAGATTGTGAATCTCATGAAATGTTGATTTCTGGCTTCCTAGCCGTGCTGACCTGTGTTAACATGTTTCTGATGAAATACTAGTCAGTTTTGTGGTTGAGAGTTTGTTCCCAGGGTTTGTGATGCTGTGAGAACAAAGCAAGGCGCGTGAGTTTCTCCCCTTTTCTCCCCTTCTCTTGGGCTGCCCAGGGGCCAGTAGGTGGCTGTTCTGAGAGGCGTCAACTCTAGACTCCCAGGGACTCAACAGGGACTTCCAGGGCGCTGGCCCATTCACTTGGGGTTTTCTACAGTGGCTGGCTTAGTAAAGGGGAAGGCATTCCCCCTGACACTTTGCCCAGCGAAACCTCCTTCAGCTCTACAGGTGACCTTGTTTTTTCTCCCAGAGGATTGTACTTTGCGGTAGCTCCCACACTGGGGTTCGGCTGCAATACAATGACTAAATAAGTGCACCTGAATATTGGTGGGAAGCATGTTTGATGGAAACTGGAGCCTTGCAAGTTGTATTCACAGAGTTAGCCATCCCACGTTCTTTTTTTCTCTTTTAAAAGTGTAGAACACAGTTTTAAACTTGACATAACTGTGAGAACATGGAATTCCGTGTGATCCTTGTCTCTGAGGGGTTGGAACACATACCCTGCTGGACTCTTTGGCTGGGATGTTGGCCCTGGAACGTACTAGATTGCATCAGAATCACCTGTAGCATTTAAAAACAATGACTGATTCTGGGCCCCTCCCTGGAGATTCTGATTCAGACGGTTTGAGATGGGTTGGGGAAATTCAGTGTCCTGATAAGCTTCGGAGGTGTTTCTCACTTGCAGCCAGATTTGAGAATCCCCGAACTAGATGCCTTTGAGTTCTTTCCAGTGCTTAAGATTTCATCAAGAACATGTTCTCATGAATGAGTAAATCAGGGGAGAATAGATGGTTTTGCTTCCGTGTTCTCTCTCCCTTTCTCTCTCTGTCTCTCAAGTTTAGAGTTTTGTTTTTATTTTTTAATCATGGAAAATTTCAAACATACACAGTAGAGATAACAATATGATGAATCCACAGACCCATCACCACCGCTGCTCACCTCCAGATTCTGTAGTGAATTAAGGGTTTCCCTCACTTACTTCGTTCTTTTTTGTTGCTTAAGTATTTTGAAGCAAATCCTAGACCTCATGACATTTTACCCCGACATATTTTGGTGTGTGTAAGAATAATTGACCTTTTCTTACCTAATCACAACACCAGCGTCACCCCCTAACAAAATGACCAGCTCTTTGGTGTTACCTAATCCCGGGTCTAGATTCAGATCTCCTCGATGGTTTACAAAATGTTTGTTTGAATTAGGATCCAAACACTGTTGACAAGTTGCAGTTGACTGTTAATGTTTCTTTAGTCAGTTTTCATCCCCAGCAATCCCTTTTTCGTGCCCTTCCTTGTTAAGGAGACCCATCCTTTGGGCTTTGGAATGCCCCACATCCTGTGTATATCATCCGGGGTTTCATCTAGCTTGTTCCTCTGTCCCCTGTATTTTCTGTGAAATGCAAGTAAGCGCTAAAGGCTAGATCACATTTTGGCTTTTTTATCCCCAGGAATATTGAGAAGTCTTGTGTGTTCTCACATCAGGAAGCCTGGGTGACCCTCTCCTGGGCATGCTGAGCTTGAGCTGTGGGTTCTCATGGGGTCGGTGCTCCCTCCTCTGCAGAATTCCCCATCAGCCTTTCATCTCATGGTTTCATCTAGTGAGGACCTTTGCCCGAATCAATTAAGATAGAGTTTCAAAGTCAGGGATTGAGTTTTTTTTTTAAAGATTTTTATTGGGGAATTGGGGGGATGGGAACAGTGCTGGGGAATTGGGGAAAGGGGAACAGACAAGTCGCTGTCGTCTTGTTCCTCAATCCAGTTGTGGAGGACGTCGCTTCACTGGCCCAAGTTGGCACCATCATTGCGCTCTTCTCTGGCGAGGCAGATCAGTCGCCGGCTTCTGGATGGCTGCTCACTGCGGCTGCTGGCCGCTCACGCTGGCTGCTGGCCACACACGGTAGCCCATGGCAATCCACTGCCACAGGGACTGCAGCCCACGCCGTCGCCGGCGACTCATGGCAGCCCAGCTCCAGGCCGAGCTGCCGCCCAGCATCCTAGCCGCGGAGGGCAGCGTCACCGGCCCTCATATGTGGGATCCGAACCGGGGCCCTCTGGCATCCCAAGCGAGTTCTTAACCATCGCGCCACTCGGCCGGCCCAGGGATTGAGTTTTATACCTCTTAAATACAGACCTTGGTTAGGACTGTGAGATTCGCAAGTACTAACCTCTCTGAGTACTTATAAATGAGAAATAAAGTGCAGTGTTTTTTTTTTAATTGACGGCATAATGTTCAGGTGTGTTTCTATTTCTGTACTTCTCAACTTCCCCACTTGCCCCTTTAACACAAAACAAATTGTTGTCATAAGAGGGTGTATAAAGGAAACACTGTGCGAAAGTATTTTTATTATACCCAGAGCTGAGTGCTTTAAATGCTATTTTAGGTTACAAATATAGGCAACTTGTCTTGTTTGAAAGTGAACTCTATTGGAAGCCAGGATACCTGGCTCTAGTTTTGATGCTGGTGGCACGTGGCTGTCTTGGACCTCAGTTTTCTCCTATATAGAAGCAGGGCTTTGTAGTTGCTTTGTAGGGCTTCTTAACAGGGGTCTTTGGGTGTCAGAGGCTCTGCAGACAGCCTGAAATTATTGACCACAGGTCATGTGACTATGCATATTTCATTTTCCTAGAGGATTCCAGGATTTTGTTTGATTAGTTTTTAGGTTCTTCGTGGAACCTCTGACCCCCTGAAGGGTGAGGAACTGCCAGTATTTTGTAATACCAATAGTGGACTTAACATGGAACACCCTCCGTGTGCTTTTTGTATGTAGTATCCCATTGCTTCCTCCCTCCAATCCTATAAGGTAGCTCCTATTTTCCTTCTTAAAATAGATGAT